TTTATATTAATAAATATATTTAAAATGCTCAGTTCGAAGGAATAAATAGAAAATTTTTAAATAATCACATGAAGAGACAATGTAACACTAACAATTAAAATAATAGTCTAAAAATTTAATTAGTTAAAATATCGGTTATACATCTCTCTTATTTATATATATCTTTTCTGAACGGAACATTGAAAGGCGTGTAAAACTGTACTTTACTATATTTTCTCTTTTACAGAGTACCTGACACAAACAATTAAAATAAAAGTATAAAAATTTAAAAATTACCTAAAATAATAACTATGACGAAAAATATATATAAAGAAAACTATTTGAAAAAAATAAACGCTGCACCTTTATTTACGCAGTTCGAATAGGTAAATAGAAATTTTTTAAAACAGTTATTCGAAAAAAAAAAAAAAAAAGTGCAACTTAAACAATTAAAATGAAATTCGAAAAAGAAAAATTACTTAAAATAATAAGTTATAATTAAAAATATAATATAAAGAAGATTATTTGGAAAAAAGGAATGGTGACTTTTTTTCCTCTCACGGGAAAGGAAACTAGGTTGCCATATATTAAGAAGTTCGCCAAGTGAAGTATTCTTGGCGCAAACTGACAAAAAAGTGGCAACATAAATTTATTAATTTTTCCGGAAATTTTGCTCAAAATTTTACAAAATTTCATATTTAGGCGTAATTTGAGTCGTAGAATCGAAATATGTAAAAAATTGGTATGTTATTTCAGAAAAAGTCCGATTTTGTGTCAAAATACCTATGTTAGAATAGTGCTATATATAAATCTAATATATATCCTAAGTCGCGCTTTCGAGACATGAAGAACGCAATTTGAATTTTGTCAATCGGCCCAGTAAATCAGGAGATATAGGACTGTCCCATTTTTTTTTTTTTTTTTTTTTTTTTTTTTTTTTTTGAGCAGTGTACATATAAGCAAGGGATGTGTAATGTACTCACTTATACTACACAGTTTGAAATAGATAAAAACAAAGATGCACTGAATAATCAGTATGAAGAGTAAGTTTGTAAGGTTTATTCTATTTAACTCTATTTCTTATATTAAAGTCTGTTCTTTTCTTTTACTGTTTCTTCCCCACCACCAGACTATGTAAACGAAGTGAGTTTTAAACAGTGTAGAGTACCTCACTTTGGAATTCTAAGTTAATGTTGGAAGTGAGGAATCTAAGAACTGATAAGCGAATAATCGCTTGCGTTCGGTGACAAGAAACGACAAGATAGAAGGGTAACTAACCCTTTATTATTTCAATAAGATTTAGCAAAACTCCGCATGGGAGTGTACAAGCAAAGCCCGCACTTGGACTTGAACTTAAAGACTAAGAATTAAACTAAAACTAAGATTAACTAAACAAGTATAGCCGAAGCTATCAAGGTTCAATTTGAGTTGGCCCCTTAACTTATTTTACTACGAAGCTTAGCAAGGGCCTGAGTACGGCCGAGCGTAATAACAGCTTTGAGAGAGAGAGTGGCCAAAAAGGCAGACGCGCGTAAATCAGAAACTCTGATTCTCTCTGCTTCAGTAAGTAACTTCGTGGTTTAAATACCGCTTCTCCTCATTAAGTATTCAGAGTGATTTCAAAACTACGTTCTGGCCGGAAATAGTAAGTTGAAGTTAAGAATTTGACGGGAAAGGAACTTTAACTTAAAATTTAACTGTTAATAAAATTAACATTATCCTTACAACAGGAATGAGAATTTAAATTTAAGAAGGAGGTTTGGCAACATCAGCCTGCTTTAGTGATATTTATCTGTTATTCTCTGCTTTGAATGTTGCTGATATCAGTTGGCGAATGTGTCTTTCATTAAAATTAAGTTAGCAATCATGAAATAGCAAAGCCAAATCGTTTGTTTTTAAATTTTGACTTGTAAATACTTTCAATCATTGTTGCTTATCCAATCTTTTAAAAAGTATAAGTTAATTTTGCTAATCGTTTTAGTTCAAAGCGAATTTTAGTTATTTTGCATTTGTACATGCAAAATAATTTTGATATTCAAAGCTAAAGATCAGATGAAAATTTATCGGACGGTCTAGAAGGTTAGACACTGTTCAGAATACTGAAACTTTTTTAACATTGTAAATTAGCTTCCCATAATTTAAAACATAAAAATATCGGATGTGTACACCACATAGCTTCCTTGTACGGAATATTAAATTATACCTATTTTTTCCTGCATTTCATTTAAACTGATTTCCTCGAATTTCATTAGAGATATATTTTTCATTCAATTGATTTCAATTTGATTCAATTTAATTTGATTTGTAAACATTACATTATTATTGCATTAGCAAGACGACAAGTAGTAAATGTTTAGATCTTGTTCCCTTTATTTTATAAACTTCAGATTGAAATAGTGATAAATAGTTTAGCTGATTACTTGTGCGTTAGTACTCTAGGTTAAAATATGGAAAAAATTTTTCAAGAATTTAGTAAAGTTATTCAAATAGTTTAAGTGAAATTAAGGAGTAAACTTATCTAAGCACATTTAAGAATTCTTGAAATGCATTGCAAATTTTGCAGAATGCTTTTTTGTTTCTGGAGATGCTTCGAGAAGTTTAATATGGAATTTTAAAAAACAAATTCAAAACAGATCTTTCGATTTTAATGCTTTCCGAACGTCAAGTTGAAAACTTAACAACCAAGGTTGTTGTTAAGTCGCAAGGTTGAAAACTTGAAAACCTTGATCAAGATTTTATATATTATTGGAGTGGTTTACCAATGCTGATGCGTTCTTTCACCACTATTAAAAATCAATATATTGGGTAGAAATGAAAACTATTAATGACAAAAAGCATCAGTCTTATAATAGTTGTAGAGTAAAGTAACTTTAAAAACAGTTCATACCTTAAAAAAATCTAAAAACTGGAAAGGTTGCAACATATTTAGAGGTGTAAAATAAAGGAAATGCTGTCACCTCTATCTAATTAGAAAGAGCGTGTATTTCTGATTACACTCTTGCAAAATTCTTTACAATTTTGCAAAATTTTCCTTTCGTTTTGAAGAAGAGTGACCTTGGTCCGATCGCCCCCGAAATCTTTCATCTTGTACCATTTAAAGAAAAAATATAGAAAAATTTGTCATGCTTATTATAACTTAGAGGAAATGTAAAAGAGGAATTTAAAAACAGATACAAATATTTAGATAGAAATTTAAACTTCTGTGATGTATCTCATCTTCATGACAGATATTACAATATGAGAATGTAATTTTGTGTATTAATATTCCGATTTCGAGCACTATACAAGAGATATGACATCAGAAAATTAGCGTATGTCATTTCTTGTTTTTTATATTCAGATTCTGTTATTCAGTTCTACAGACATTAGGTTATTTCAAAGAAGAAGACATGGAAAGTTAGCAATGTCCTCGCCAGGATTCGAGCCTTGGACCTCTCGAATACGCGCCGAGCTGGCTGATCATTACACTACGAATTCATGCTAAGAAGGCGGGAGAAATACCTTATACACTCCCCCTTTTAAAGGGCGACTGGGGATTAGGATACCCAATCGCCAAATCCTGGTGGTGGAGAAAAACAATTCACCACTGTTTTTAGTTCGGGCGCCACTGTAGAGACATTAGGTTTTTTTTTAGGTATTAGGGTACCCAATCGCCAAATCCTGGAGGCGGAGAATCATAATCCACCACCGTTTTTAGTTCGAGCGCCACTGTAGAGACATTAGTTTTTTTTTTTAATTTTAAAGCAGGAACTGGAAGAAATGTGCAGTGCCCTCACCAGGATTCAAACCTCGATCCTCTCGAATACGCGCCGAGTTTGCTAACCAACACACCACTAAGGCATGCTAAGAAAGCAAGAGAAATATCTTATACGTATTTAAATGCCGTCAACTATATATTTTATTAAGCATATATTGTAGAATTATCATTGATTTTTAGTATCCAGTCTTTCAAAATACAGCATACAGGCATTCCTTTTTTAAAATTGCATACTAGAACATACTAGAAAATGTATGAAAACAACAGCTCAATTACTAGTTAGCCTAGATGGTATTATAGAAGTTCAATTTTCTGAATTTATAAAATTTTGTCAAAATTTTAACCTAATGATTAGAAAATAAAAAGAAGTCAGAATCTTGCGAATAAAATGAGGGTTAATAAAAACTACAATTTTCATTGCAAGCAAAGGTTTGAGGGTAACTAACTGCCTTGTGCAAAAGGTTGATAAAATTCTACTACTGGACTGAATCTTTTCTGGACTAATGCGACGAATTCCTTCCTGAAAAACAGATATCATTTGCTTCTTTATAGAGCCAAATGTTTTCCCAATCAAAGAAAACTCGCTTGAAAATAGTTCCCAGTCAACGGAAAAAAAAATGTCTATTTGAAATATTTTTAATCTGGTTTTCCTGTTTTTCAGTTTTTGAATAATTTGACCCTTTTTAGGAGAACATTAAAACTTTTGACCAATAATGAAGATTTTATGAGCCCTAAAAATATAATTTATATGCTATTTTAGGGAGCCCTAAAAATCTCCTTGTATTTCTTCACAATATCGGTTTACTATTCATGCAAATCGAGAAAAATGGGCTCGGAATATTCAGAAGAAAAGTGGTTTGTAGGGCCTTATATTATCTTAATTGAGCTAGGAGCCTGTTTGAGTAAGAATAGTCGAAAGAAAATTTAGCATGATGATTTGATTTTTGATCCAGTGTTGGACTTCTGTGTATTGGCCGAAACAAAATTATTACCAATATTACTTCCATTCGTATCCAAAACAACTTAGCATGACTGAACTAAAATAGACAGCATAGTTTGCAGCAGCATTCCTATACTGCGGAAGATAATTATGAAATGACTTTGAAAAAAATTCCTTCCTTGTACTCCCGGATCTGCAATATTTCTCTACCCGGAACCGCTATTGGATCTTTGTCCCTTAAATAAACTCCCTCACTACCACGTTTTACTTCTTAGTGTGACATAACACACGCATTGCATTCTCACGTGCATTTTTCAGCGGGCGTAGGAGCTCCCATTTTTCCGCTCTCCGCACAATGAGACGCGAAACACACACTGATGGACGGACGAACCGATTCTCGGGGATTCCAAATTAAGAAAGTCGTAAGAATTCTCTTCTGTCGGAGCTGCGTCCTTCTGATCGGTTCCTTGTTCGAGTCGAATTAACACACGGGGTCATGTTCATGCCATCAGTTTTGATGATTCTGCCATTCGTCTGCTTCAGTAACGGATTGCCAAGGGTTATAAAACTGGGTAAGTAAAAGCTTTTTATTAATGATGTTCTTAAAGAGAATAGTAATTAATAAATTTGCACGTTCTGTTGGGTTTTTAACATCAAATCACGATACATCGAATTGAACCTACCCCTACCGATTTGGTATCAGAAGAGAAATTGTTTATTTGTGAAAGCTGAAAAATTCTTTAAAATGAAGTAGTCAGACATATAAAGCATGCAAAGTCTTTGAAAAAATTTTTGGAAACAGCTTAACAGCTAAACAAACTTACAATGTAAATATCTGGAAATCTCCCAGAATTTATACCTAATTTGATGCAGGAGAGAGCAGTATAAAGTGTACGATAAGTTTGCCGCTTACCATTTTGATATATTAATTTTTGTATAAATCTGAAACAATTTTATGAATAATCGTAATTTAAGATTAAACGTTTTACTTAAAAAGTTGGATTTAAAGTTAGGTAATCATAACTAAGCAGTTTCTACCTTAATATTAAGTTATGTTGTAGTTGAAATTCAGGGTATATTAAAGGAAAAAGGAGTTAATTTCTTAACATTACGTACAGCAGTTTAATTAATATTTACTCTTCATATACCGTTGGGCATTATAAAAAATGTTTTTTCCCTTTTCTTTTTTAAAATTTTACTCTTAACCTTAATCATTGTGTCAAATCACAGCTCTGCCCTAAACTATACATAAGATGAGGCCGAATGAGTAAAACCACCGAGTTCTGGTAGTTCATTGCAGACAACGGGTTGGGTTCCGTTAAGTTTTAGTAGTTCTCCCCAAGTGTAACATGAATTTGAGTCTGTTTCATCTAAAATATTTTATATTTAGGCAATCTTCTTTTAAATATAAGATAGTCGTAACAAGATTTGTCGCAATCGATTAATCAACAAGAAATACTGCATTTTATCATTTTCGAAAAGAGAGTACTTATACTAAGAAATTTTTTAAGACTAGAATAAAAACTGCAAGTATTTAATTTAGATAACTTAAGCTCTCACTGGTTAAGTGGAAAATATATTCAAATATAACTTCATTTTCAAAATAAATATGCATAATGAACTATTTCCATTTTGTGTGAAAGTGAGTGATTTCCAAATTAGAAGAAAATAAAATCATTAAAGAGTCCCTCTGACACCATCGACAAGATCTTAAGTAGTTCAAACTTATTTGAATTTGAGGAAAGGGTATATACTTCTTCAACACTAAAATATTTAACTTTTGTATTTCCTATAAGGTTAGGTTATTTGAACATGGCAAAGCACGTGAGAGATAGTTTCCTAAGGGAAGACATGGCTTCATGGAGGATTTTCTAAGGGAAACTGGCTCGCATTTATGTTACACATAGGAAAAGGTTCGAAAATTAACCATGCAGCCATTCTGTTCTCCTGCACTTAAACATAGGTTGAACTACCAGCATTCGCGATCTTAGTCACTGGCTATTGGTGTGGCCATCTCCTATAAAAGTGAATTCGATGGAGATTACTGGTTTTCAGCCTAAATAATGCAAATTAATTGCATATTTTAACGCAGCGCTAGAAATAACAAATACGTATATCTATAAGTTTCTCTAACTTTCTGCTTATTAACAATAAAAGAGAAGTTTTTTAGTGGCTAGTTTTCGTGTCTACTTTTTCTAATAAATTAATTAAAGTTTTATTAAAATAGCAGAATGAAAACAATTTTTATGTTTCAATTAAATAAAATTTAACTATGAATAAAAATTTAGCGTAAAACATACGTTTATGAAACTGAAATGTCTCTCTTCTCTTTAAATAGTTGGCTGTAATGGCCCTTTACATCTACAGAATGCCGCCCAGACGGTATAGTGGTTAGGGGAGCCTACTGCGATTCCAAAGGGCTCGATTCGAATGCCAGAGAAGGCATGAATATTTATAAATGTGTAATGTCTTTGCGGCAGGGGGGCACTCTAAATATATGGAGAGCTGAAAGTCCTCTCGTGTGGTTTGGTGGAAGGAGAGAGGGGTGGGCTGACTGCCCCCCGGGGTATTCTCCCATAAACTTGGGGTGGAAGTAGAAGTCCAACTTCCTTGAGGCTCTGGCAACCATTCTTCCACCAAATACATGGACAAGACAACAACAAAATCTGCAGAATATGTAAGAGATGTATAAAGTTATTCATTACAGCAAAACATTCAAGGATTATTTGTTTCAGGAAGAGCTATTTCGCAGAGAACATTCTGAACGGGACTCACCATGTTTATATTAGACGTTGTGACAAAGCATGCAGATTCAGATAGACCAGACATATTTACTCTGCAAGTATCAAACTCTGCATGAACATCTATTGTTTAATGCTGTAATCAACTCAACTTTTATCGGAATTCGAATTTTAAAAATTATTTTATTACTTTCTAGTATAGCATTAATTAGAAGTCTATGAGCAAAGTTTGACCTGGAATCTTGGAAAACATACATTTATTATTATTTTTTTATTATTATGTGCAAACATATATATGAATTCAGAAGTCTTAATTTAAAATATAGCTTTGTTGTTTAATACCCTTTTTACATAGATATATATAAAACTAAATTCAAATTAAGTTTGTGTACTTGAAAGGAATTACCTCATTCTCCATTGCCCTTGTGCTTTAGTGGTTAACATATCCTACTAGCAATAGGAAATCCGTCGTTCGAAACTGTCGTGTTGTAAATGATTGATACGTCCTGTTGATAATTGAATCCTGGTGATGACATAATTGAGTTCTCACGTTTGGCTTCCTCTGTAAACTTAGCAGTCATTACAGACTACTATAAAAATAAATCAAAGTTATATTTAATTTCTTTTAGCATATATAAAATTCTAATAAATTTTTATCGTGTTATTAAATTTAGACTGTGGAAACAGAACATGGAGAACGATAATTCATTAAAGTGTTTTCTTCTGAAATCTTGAGCGCATGGACTATGAATTAGTTAATGCTGTTCAAGCTTTATTCGGGGTCTGGACCCTTTTCTCTGTGGTATGTTTTACAAAACTTTTAACCTGCTTTACAAAAGAACATGGTAAATGAACTAAATGCTAAAGAAAATGAAAATTAACACCAGGAATTGGCATAAAATAAGTAAATGTGCAGTTTTACTTATTTACTTCAATTCTTATTGCGAAATTTCTTTCTTTTAACATTTGCATTCAACTTAAGTAAGTGATAAGATTAAGGAGCAAAATATATTAAACCTATTAAATTTATTATTGAGGAATCAAATAATAAATATATTATCAAGGAACAAAATATATTATTTTGCTTAAGTTTAATTTATAATGTATTTCTCCCGCCTTCTTGGCATGCCTTCGTGGTGTGTTGGTCTGCACGCTCAACGTGTAATTGAGAGATCCGTGGTTCGATTCCCGGTGAAAACGTTGCTAATTTTTCACCTCTCCGACCTCGAAATAACCCAATGTCTCTAAACATTAAAGAACAAAATATATTAAGTTACTTTTTATGCAAATTTTTAGTTACTGTCGTAATAGTATTTAATGCTTATAGGTGGACTCTTCGAAACCGACGAAGAAGAACAAGAAACAGTATTTGACATAACAGTTAAATGGATAAACGAAGATAGATACTTTTTTCCGAGATCGACTCTTGTTGCATATAAAGAAAGCCACGAATCTGATAATAGTTTTGAAGTTTCCAAGAAAGGTAAATGAATGAAAAAGTCTTATTTTAAATGAATGAAAATGTCTTATTTAGTCTTATTTGAAACCAGGACTAGTCTAAAATGTAACAGGTGAAGACAGCCTGCATATTTGAGGGAATAAAACCCCCTAAAGGATTTTGCAGTGCCTTAAGTCATGTGGGAATTGCAGTATGTTATAATGTTTATATCTAATGGAAAATTGAGAAGAGTTAATAGGGGTACTTAAGGGGCTTGCTCAGAAGTTTTTATGAGCTAAGTAAATGAAAAAATAGCAATCCTTTACAAAAGATGTGAGTAAAATCATTATTGTGATATTTTACAAAGGAAAATGAAAAAATTACCAGGTATTACGATATACAGTACAAAGTCCGAGATATGGATTTGTCGGGATTTCGGCTATTCCAGATTTCTGAATTTTTCCGATTTTAGATATCGATTTAAATCTAGATAGATAAAGTATAGAAATATTAAATAGTTGTTTATGAAATAGTTGTTTATGAAATAGTGAAGGCTTTATGACCTCAAATGTCTTCCATTCTTTCTTCGCTATCTGTGGCGATACTTTCTGGATTTAAAACGATACGATCGCCGTCTGTTAGTTAATTGCTGCTTTGTGCATTGTCATCGCAATAAAAAACGTATATTCTGTCATCTTTATTTATTATAACTTCACATTTCTTTCACAGATTCCACTAAATGGAAAGTTTCGTCTTCTTTAGCATCTACGTCGTTTAAGCTGCTTCGTTTTGAGGGTTAATAGTTTCTGTATAATTTTATAAATAGACAAAATTATTCTTTTGCGTAATTTTGAAATCGCTTTTTCTTAAACCCCACTTGCGTCAAGTGGCTTGAAGTGCAGTCATGGCTAAAGCCAATCATATTGCAATTCCTTACGAAAAGAAATGCAAAAGTACTAAACAAGTGGCGCCATCTGATGATCTCCAATGTGTTGAAAGTAAATGGGTAAAGCTGAACTCATCACCTGATTATCTTAAATATTTTCCTCAGTTTTATATTGCTGCAGTAATCCAAGGCTCCTGGCTGTTTATCGAGATCATGGCGTCCAATCCTCCCTGAGGAAGAGGCAAGCCCTCCAAGCACGGATGTCTAAGTCTCTCCCTATTGCAGTTACTCCTGTACTTAGATCAGATCATCTCGGAATGCAGTGTCTCCCTGCGAAAGAGTCTCCCTTTTTCCTTTTTACATTTACTTAGGAGACTATCCGAAGAATTTTCAAACAGTAATCTTCTTCATAAAATCAACTGAGCCAGCTTCTAAGAAAGCAGCTGAATGCCGCTATTAACACAAATGCCCAAGTATCCACCGTCAATGTGTCGCCATTAAAGTGACATAAAAGAATGTCACCTAATCGGAAAGAAGAATGCTTACCACACAGCTGCTCTTTTTGTTTCCTATTATATTAGCGTTACTCAAACTTTCTTTAAAAATGTGCTGGTTTTCTGAAGTCCGGATACTAGATCATTCTGGAATTTGTACTGTATTTTTTTTTCCCTACAGACCTTAATACGAGGACTTGAAACAATTCGATTTATTTCTTGAACTTTCACCTTTCAGATCTTTACCGTGAAATTCATGCTGTTCAAATTATATACGACGGAAATCATTAAACAATAGATTTTCATTTCATACTGTTTGGAATGCTTTTTTAAAATAGGTAATTCAGACAAACGTTTTATCAAAATATTTCTCTCATAATTACTATAATTTTTATTATAATGATTTTCGTTATTTATTCAACTAATAAAAAAGTAAATTTTGTAATCTTTTTCTTCTGTACAGCTTTTCAATTCCTGAATTTATTGTAACAAGACATTTAAAACGAGAAGGATTTCAGGTAGTTTAGGAATATCAAGTTGCAATTGCTAACGTATTATCTCATAGGACATAAAACAGTCTCCAGGCAGTGCGATTTAGCTCCAGCTATGGATAACTGTAACTCAGAACATCCCCGTGACTCATGACACTCTCATAACATTTCCGTTTGATGTAATCCTGACTGATTCTCAATAAGCCAGCTTTTGATTTCATGAAGAAGGTTATAAATTAACTGTTACTGCTTTACCGCTTCGTGCATTTTGATGAAAACGATGAAAATTTGGATCATGCTGTCTACAGAACAGCAACCAGAGGATAATTTTTAATTATAAGATCCTACCATCATAAAATGCGTGTATTAATGAACACAAAATGGTGCGCTGAATATGGCCAACAAAACAATGATAGATTTAATCAATTACCTGAGGGAAGTTTGTATTTCTAGCGTTGTAAATAGCTTCCGGTAAAATTGCTGAGGCTAACAATATAATAGAAATCGAAGAAAATCTTTTTGGGAGCTCAAAAAACGAATCGGGTTTGAACCCTGATTGTTTACAGAATTGTACAGAAATGATTGGTGCAGCTTTGTCGGGATCTCAGCCGATTTTAATAGTTCGAAGGCAGCCAACTTTTCCAGTGGACTGGATAATACGTTGTAAGGATCTTAAGTTTTATTAACGTTTATTTTATTTTAAAACTTTACTACCCTCTCTTATTTTTCCACTTCGGCCAGAATAAATGCGTTAACTTGTTTCTGCAAATTGTACTTGCTAACGCTTAAGTATTTAAGTTGTGGCGTTTTGACAAGAGCACAGTTAGATGGAGAGAAAATGAGCCGCCTTGCCACTGTATTCCGCACGAGTTTTCGCTGCTGTCCGCCTTTAAGGCCCTCTCGTTATTTTAAACACATTGTAGTTTTCAGAAATTTGCGCACTACATACGTAATAATTTAAAAAGCCAGTTTTAGTGTCAGTCATCTGTATCAAGCATTCAAAGTTAGCTCTTATTTTAAATTTAACTAGTTAACAGTTTTTATATTTTTTACGTTCAGACCACAAGTGGTTGGTCTCTGTATCCCGAAGTGCGGGAGCGCCTGTAATATTGTGGAAAATAAAGGGTAAAGTTAACCCTTCCTGCTTGTGTCGTCCATTCCACACATATTTGAACATAGCTGGAGTAAGCTCCCTGCTCCCATTCAGGACACGTCATGTTCCCAAAGCGGATTAAGAGACATACAAGTCCTCATAACGTAAGTACGGCAGTAAGTAATACAGTTTCTGCTTAACTGCTCCATTGGAGAAGCTTGAGTTCACAACAAGGGTTATCTCACTTCCATCCTTCCAGTCTATTATTGTTTTTATAAAGTACGTTAATTAAGAATGTGCATTTAAATAGTTAAAACTTAAGTATTTCGCATTAGTTTGTAGCATATAATAGTAGGAATGTATAAAACAAATGGTGAGATTTCTATAGTGGTGATGTTCGTTCTTGTTTATTATGTATACGAGTTGGATGTTCTTATAAAGTCTTCTGATGAAAATATTATGTTCTTTAGAATATAGATGGTATTTTGTTTTCATCATTGCTTTCTAGTTTGCAAGTTTTTGGAAAATTTTATCTGCATCACCATCTTTTGACAGATTATTAGACTCAGAGCTTTGAAAGCAGTTTCGAATTTCATGTGCCGTCGTTACCACTCTGTCTCTCTATATATTTATTTCCAATTAATTTATTGTTCATTCCTTTTTACAACAATTTTAGTGATCTCTTTAAAGGCACTGCTTTAGAGTCATTAAAGCGATATCAACAGGCATTCCTTGTAGGCTATCTTCCACATCCATTTGGAGTTCTCGCTTTCGGTATATTTTCTCATTCGTATCATAAATTTGTTTCAGGGTATTTTCTGATTTGTAATTTGTATGTTTTGAGTAATCTTCTCTGATGCCACTTCACTAACATTTCTGGACTTCAAAATATTACTTTAACTATGATTAAGCACTAGTGACTATATACTTAGAGATCCTGAATGGTAGAAATAATTAGTAAGAGTTTTGGTTTGTGCATCTGGGTCTGAAATAATTATTCTTCGCTATTTTTAAAACAGAAATCTTTGGGGGGGGTGAACCAAAAAAATCCATTACCATCAAGACATGCCAGATTTCTTCCCTTCTAGCTGGAGTTTATATGAAAATGAAAATCCCTGAGTTCATTTTATTCACCAATGTTCTATAATAGAAGCTTTCTAGATCCATCAAAATCTTTTGAAGTAAACAGAAGAACTTCTCTTGCAATGCTTTTCGTCTGTACTTTTTCTTCTTCATTATGGAGACTTTTCAACGGTTGTTCTTTATTGAAAGATTAGTTTATTCCACACTGGCTGTATTCTTAAATCAAAGTGTTCTCTAACATAGAGCAGATACTTTTCTAGTTCTCATTCCTTGCTTACGCATAAACATGGATTCGCTGCCATCTAAAGAAAAAAATTTGAAAAAAAAAAGGCTATGCGATAACTTTCTTTTAGACTTAATTATTCTTTAACCCGTAAAAGAATTTGTCGTTTGACATTTTTTCTATTTTATCTCTTAAAACGTAATTGTTGATTGTTGTATTTCCTAATTTCACTTTTGAGGACATTTGAGTGCACATTTAAGTTTCTTTGTGTGTTTTTAACTCATCACATTTTTCTTGCTGAATTCCGTCTTCTTAAAACCACATAAAATTCTTCCTTTTCGTTTCGCAGTTATTTTCAGAAGTTAAGTTTCTTTGCTATCCGTTGTCTTTTTATTTCATTATTAATGAATGAATTTGACAGTTGCAACTTTCTGCCTAGTTGTAAATGCATTATTTTGACTATACTGTCTTAGTAAGAATAAAATATTAAAACGTACGACGAAACAGAATTGAGAAAATCAAGTGATTTGACTGCGATACTTTGGTGTTACGCTTTTTAGATGCCATTTTCTTCCATCTCAGAATCGGCAACTTACCCTGCGACTGAAGAACCTTTCCACTGGATCATAACATCACGAACTAGCGCTGATAGCAACACTGATCATTTAGTTACTGTAGTAAAATTATTGCCGGTTTATAAAGCTTTACTAATAATAAGATTTTTCCTGTATAATTTAAGTAAATGTCTGAAGAAATATATTTTTAATTTATTCGT